AGGCGGCGGCCGCTCTGGCAGCAGCCATGCCAGGGGCTGGAGGGGCCAAATCTGAAGCCAGAGGCAACGGCCCTCTGCCTGGAGGAGGAGGGCTCATGGAGGAGATGAGTGCCCTGTTAGCAAGGAGGTAGCGACACATCATATATTACTCTTCGATTCAGTACGTCTCAAAATAGGCACTTGAGTCATATGAATGAATTTCAGATCTTGTTTCATATACTACAGAAAAGTGAAACTTGACACAGTTGCCATACAGTAGATTTAGCAAACCCCAATGTTGGTCGCAATGGATTTTGTTGTGCCACCTGAAGAATAAGTTCATGTACTCATCACTCTCACTATTCCTCAGTATTATGAGATGATATGTAGTAAAATCGTAATTTAAATGCACTTTGTTGCTGACAGAGAAGTATCACTGTAAGATCTAGAGAAATCTAAGGAATTTAGGTTTTAAAAATGTGGAGTTCAGGAGGAATTGTGTGGTCTGTGCTTTATGATATTAACATTAAACATGATGATATGTTTTTAAAAATAGCAACTGTTTTTCAGAAATAATTCTGGACTCTGTCTTACAGGAGAAGAATTGCAGAGAAGGGCTCATCACCTGAACCTGACCAGAGATCAGTAAGTACCATTAGATCCTTCTTGTCTGCTGTATTCATGGGGTAGGACTGGATAAGTCTGACTTCTTCCTACTCCATTCAAGCATGTACTAGGTATAAGCAAATTGATATTGGATTAGCATTTGTTGGATATGTGTAAAATTATGTGTGTTGACATATCAACTGTCTTTACATGCTTGAAAGAATAAATCAAATCAAATCAAATCATGCAGAGCTGCAGCCCCACTAAACCACTGTCAGCCTATATGACCCTGATGTTTTACCTGTCAGACTCTTCTTTATCATCTGTGAGTCTGAAGAAGTAAAAATATGTCCTCATTATATTTAATCTCCTAAAAACTCATCTGTCGTGCTGCACAGTGTCATTTTGAGGCAAGACTCGTTTGCAGCATGGGATATTGCTCCTGCTTTGTTCTGTGCAGTGATGCAGCAGCAAAAAACTGCAGTGATTTGATTGCAATAATGTGATATGACTTTGAGTTCTAATCAACTGCTTTGACTCATTGCCTTTTAATGGGCAGTCCTATAACATACATCAATAATGTACATGATATGATTTTTCTTCTTTTTTGGGGAAGGGGAGTCTGAAACGTTTCAACCATATATGTGAAGTGTGTGGTCATTAGAGATGCACCAGTTGCACTTTCTTTTGGCCAGTTTTTTTAAGTTTGACCTGCTGATTCAAATGTTGGCTGATTTTGATTTTGTTTCTTTCTAAGAACTGCCATTGACAGCACCCACAAGTATTATATAATATCTGGTGATTTTGGCTCATGAGAAGACATTAGTCAGGAATAGACATAGACAAAACTCTGAAAATGTAATGTTCATTTAGGTTCAGGTTTGTTCAAGCACTTAGGTAACTTAGGTAAATCTGCGTGGCTGCACTAAAATCTGATCTTTACGGTAGTAAAGATCTAATGCTCCTCCGGTGTGGAGCATTAATGACCTCTGCAAGGACATGTCAAGGAAATGAGCAGCTTCATCATGCTTTCATTGATAGTTTATGGGTTATTATACTGTAGGTGTTTCAGACTATAGCCCATAGACTTATTATAATTTCAAAAATCAATAGTATTAGGTCTGCATGGTGTTTGGCAAATCTGTGGGCTAGTAGAACTTTGTAGCTATTTGTTTACTCTCCCCACCTTATGCAGAAAGCAGAATGAATGCAGAGGTTTTCCCCAGTACCAAGAATGCATGACTTGTAATATCAGCTCCCTTTCTGCTTAATAGACTCTTTCGCTCCACTCATTTGGTTCTTGGATTCTCAGAGCCACATGTTGAAATTATCTTTAGGACAAGTCCATGCTTTTCCCAAATGGCAGACAGAATCTGGTTAGCTGCTTTTTTCAGCAGTGGCAAAAATACTAAAGTTTGCAACTAATTGCTGCCTCTGTTGAAACAGATTCATAATTTTCCCAATGGCCCTAGCTGTACCAAGCCAAGGTGTGATTTGCCTGCATTTCCACTACAGCCTTACAGCAAGCTGCATCACCCTTATTTTACTGATTGCTTTCATCAGCTGTACCCCATTATCTTTGAGGGTGTGGGTAAATGGGGACAGTCCTAGCAGGGCACACCCCAGACAAGTTGCTAGTTAAGTCACAGGACTGACGCATACAGCCAGCCATTCGTGTTGTTTCATTTCAATTTGTAGTTGCCAGTTAGCCTAAACTAACCTGTTGCAGGAGGACACTGGAGCACCCCGAGGAAGGCCATACAAGCACTGAGAGAACATGGAAACTCCACAGTTTTCTAGGTTCAATCTCAGAACCTTGTTGCTGTGAGGTGACTGTAAAAACTACTGAACTTGTGCCTACCTGTATTAGATTACAGCTGATGCAAACCAAACCTCCTCTTCAGTTGTTGCACCACGTTAAAAATCAACCACTAGTTAACTGGTGTGATACTTTTGTTGTGAAGAAGCTATAGGAAATGTAGTGTGCAGTGCAAGGCACAGGTTGTCACTGAGTTAGTGGAGCTTCATTTGCACTCGTGTTCTTCAATAAAAGCAGGTCTAATTAACTACATATGAACATTCTCCACTACTTGGTCAACAGGTCAGTTTACATATTGTATATAGTACATACAGGATTCAACTTGCTGTGGTCTGTGACTACTATACTGTACTTCTAGCATGTTACCAAAGTATATAACTTTACCTTGCTCTTCGGTACAGGAGCAACACACTTGAAACGTGCCAGCATGGCACGTGGACTGAGCATACATATTCTATAGTTTTCAGAGCCACTGTCTCTTCTTGATCTTATATTATATCTTTCTGCATTCTCTTTTTCTGTAGTTCAATGGGCCATGGTGGAGAGGGTACCAATGCCTCGAGTCCCCGGCATTCATCTTGGCAGAGCAGTAACGGAGGGCAGGCGATCTTGGTGGCCACAGAGCCCCGCGAACACACCATAGACTGTGGTGACATCGTATGGGGCTTGGCCTTTGGTTCCTCAGTGCCAGAGAAGCACAGCCGCTGTGTTAACATCGAATGGCACCGCTTCAAGTTCGGCCAGGACCAGCTGCTGCTGGCAACAGGTCTCAACAATGGTCGCATCAAGATCTGGGATGTTTACACTGGTGAGGACTAGGGGTGTGACAAGATCTCGTGATGTTAAAACGTGATGATATTTCTTGTCAAGGCAAAAACTGTGCTTCAATATCAGTATATAACAGAACCAGAGCAGCAACCAGTATGACAAAGTGTGATGGTAAAGTGCCTTGCAAAAGTATTCATACCCCTTGAACTTTTCCACATTTTGTCACATCCAACTTGGCCAAGGAGTAATGGTTGTTTTTCACTATTGCAGGAAAACTGTTGCTAAATTTGATGGACCATAGTGATGTGGTGCGAGACTTGACCTTTGCTCCTGATGGCAGCCTTATGCTGGTCTCTGCATCCAGAGATAAGACTCTCCGTGTATGGGACCTGAAAGATGATGGTATGTAGGTGATCTGCCCTTGTTAAAAAAGCTGTCATTTTAACCCAGTTTTATTTATTTGGTTTTGTTTACTTGTCCTTTTCAAGTTGTGATGAGTTGACAGCAGGACCAAATACCCTTTTGTTTTCCTTAAGCTTTATTTATAGTGAGTCGCAGAGAGAGACCTGTGACAGATGTCGGTGGTTGGACTTAATCCATTGACATTGTGCACAAGCTGTGCTGCCGGGTATATGGTGCGCTGCATCGTAACCACTGAGCTACAGGGTGTCCTGACCTTTTGCTTTTTCAACTGAGAGTATGTTGTTGACTGGCGAATTGCAAGGCCTCTGAATTGTAAGACCAGTTTTGAAAACGCCCTGGAGCAAAATGGTGTTGCAAATGGCTGCTTTAGTTGTGCGCTCTCGTGCTTTTCCTGTTTGTTCAGTTTTTTGGAGTCCATCTTCTCTGTATTACTTTTACCAAAGAAGAGCTTTTAAAATTCTGTCAGCTCACTGCAGACATTTTTTTCTTCCGTAATTACAAATACAAAATGTTGTGTGGAGATTTTAGGAACAGTTCTCTATGGGGCCAGGAGGAGACGCAGGTAGGGGTAGCACGCCGGAGCACTGATGAAGAAACAGAGGGGAACCTGAATGCCTGAACTGGCTGAATTTGAGTGCCCATTATTTTAAAATTCACTGGATCAGAAAGATAAGTCAAGTTGCACTGAGTTAAAGTTTAGGAAAACACCAGGCCAGTAGCTCAGAGTTCATCAGTGTTTTTCACACACAACACTTATTACCGATTTGTTCTGAGACTTAAAATTAAATGTGGCAAAGCTGCCTTTAGCTTCTGTGCTGCTTAAATGTGGAACAAACTGCTTACAATTGAGACAGTGCTGACAAAATTAAAGACTTATTTACCATTGCTTTTATTTAAAGGCACTTATTTTGTTTTGAACACCATTTTCTACACTTCTACAATTATAGACTAACTTCTACTTCTTGTTACCCTCATAACTTAGTCCGATTCTACAAACTAATTTTTATTTAAATTTAGTTTTTAATGTTGTGCCTTTCCTAGTTTTGTTTTTGTTATTTGTTTTATGATTGTGTACACTGTGAAGCACTTTGGAATGCCTTTTGGTATAAAATGTGCAATAAAAATAAACTTGCTTTGCTTTTAATATCAATGGGTTAAACCAAACACGATACACACTATTTGGCCCTTGTTGTCACTGGTTAGATTCCAGCCAGGGGCCGCTGTTGAATGTCCTACCCCCCTTGTTTTCTGTCATTCTCTATACTAGGCGCTTTCAGACCAAATGGAAAACGGAACGGTGCAGTGACCTAACACTAGGCCTGCCAACTGTTAGCGATTAGCCAACAAGCTCACAACAGTTAACACATAGTAGCGACATTACATTACCAGTAAGTATTTTCTTTATATGTTACTAACCCTTTGCAGAGGATTCCGTTGGGAGACTGCAGCTCCCTATGCCACTAGTGATGGCTTTTGATCGCTATACATGATTAACAGTTTAGAAAAGTGACAGTGCTGCTGTGGTCAAAATACACATGGTTGACTCATGGTTCCTGTTACACCTGGACAGTACCTACCCAGAAGTAGGAGCTACAAAGGTCCCTCAACACAGTGTTCTAAGAACCATTATTGTTCTCAGTTCCTCTGGTATGGACACAAAAAAGGGGGTACTCATTCTAATAGTTCTAAGAACTATGAAAAAGTTCCTCCCGCCTGAAACTGCCTACCGTCTGCTGTCACGTAGAGAAAAACATTTCAGAAGCAAAAAATTTTGAATTGTTATCTGAGAGTAAAGGACATGGTGTATTGCTTCATCGTGTTGTTTATGTATTGTATAGGTAACATGGTGAAGGTTTTGCGTGGGCATCAGAACTGGGTGTATTGCAGTGCCTTCTCCCCTGACTCTTCCATCCTATGCTCAGTTGGTGCCGGCAAAGCAGTATGTATACAAGTTTCCTTTAACATATTTTGATGGTTTTGCTAGCTAACTTGTTGTTGCTTGTGACCAGTTATGCTCAATCAACTTACTGTACAAATTAAAACACTCCCTATCTTCCCTGCCCTTTCATTCCCACCTTAGAACTAATTGTGCTTAGTATTATGATGAGCTGAACTACCTGCAAAACCTGTTTGGTTTTGTTTGCAGTGAGGAAAAAACATCCTGGTGTTCTGGAGTTTGCATGCAAAGCAGACTGTTTTCACTCTTGCTATATAGCTGAAGCTAACCTCATCCTCACATATTTCCTGTACCTGTTAAAGTATTGTTGAAGTGCGGGAACCTAAACTAAAACCTCAAATCATTACAGTGAAGTCTTGAATAAGTAAAATTTTCAGAAACTTACAAAAAAGAAATAAAAAAATTCAAGCAGTTTAAAAACAACTCTGAAACCATGTAAACCTTGATTGTTAGCAAAGGTCAGATGTGAAAATTATTTTTATATTTTATTAAATGTTGGTTTTAACTTCACATACTGTATTTCTGCAGCCCTTAAAGCAGGCATGTTTCTGGATTGATTCTGTACACTGGCCACCATTAGTTCACCTGATAGTGGCCAGGAGCCTACATTGTTACAGCCCTAGATTTCATTTGAACATGGTGGTAATGGTAGACATGGTGTTAGCTTTGTTAGGCTGTGTGTGTCCCTACAGTGTGTGTCTTGCTCTCCCTGTCACAGGTGGTGGCAGAACTCAGTGTGTGATTGGTTTTGAAAGGAGCGCCGTGCTGACATTTGGCGCGGCCGGTGTAAACCGGGGACGCACAGTGCGCATAGCCCAAAGGCCTGGCCAAGGGCAGCCTGGTGCCTGACCTGCAAGGTCAATCTGTACGTAGGTGCTGCACCGTGTTTGTCTACCTCTTCTCTTGCAGTTGCTTTATTTGATTCATTTCAGGTTTAGACTATTCTTAAACCGGTAGTTATATAACCCCTCTCCCCCATTTACCCCACACCCCACCCCAGTCTTTACCTGGCTCCGTTGACCATCTGTGCACAATCATTTGTTACTAGGATTCCTGATATTGTCGGTTTAAATGTTTCCCTTGTAGCATACACCAATCAGCCGTAGCATTATGACCACATGCCTAATACTATCTACAAAGGAGTCAATGTGACAGTTGGTTTGGCACTTGTGTCACTCTGCAGCTCACTGTGCATCTTCTGTGAATCCATTTACTTCCACAGTTCTATTGTCAGGAAGAGCACAGATGTGTCTACAATTCAGTGAAAAACCTATGTAAAAGGAGTGAAAACTGTGGTTGTGAGGACGAGAGAATTTTTTTAGACCAATCCAACAGCCTCACCACTCTAGGTGTGATATCACCACTACAGCCCCTGACTCTTTCTCTTCATAGAGACCAATGTACATTATTTCTCATTTTCAACCATTTTAACAAAGATTCAAATAAATTTTAATATTTTGAAAAGTACAAATGGAAGTTAAAAGTTTAATATACAGTAGATCAATGTCTCCATCAGTGAGCCATGGGCATCCATGACCCTGTCTCCAGTTCACCATTTGTCCTTCCTTAGACACTGTTGGTAGGTACTAACCACTGCAGACCAAGAACACCCACCAAGACCTGCAGTGTGGGAGATGCTGTGACCCAGTCATCTCATCCTTCACAGTTTGGCCCTTGTCAAAGTCACTCACATCCTTACACTTGCCCATTTTTCCTGCATCCAATACATCAACTTTGAGGACTGAATGTTCACTTGCTGCCTAATATACCCCACACAGTTGCCACTGTAACAGTCAGTTTTATTCACTTCACCTGCCAGTGTTCATAATGTTAAGGGTGATCGGTGTATAGTGTAACATTGAGCTACTGCCAGTAGCAAGTTATTCAAAACAATTCAGTCAGCTAGTTTAACAACCAACCTGCCCACTTGCCTTCACTTTGTTAGCCTGCATCTTCCAGTGCTTGGCAAATGTTGTTCTAGTTTCAGATTAAAATGCTATGAAAGGTATTGCCTAAAACATTTATTGAGAAAAATAATTGGCTAATTGCCCAGTTAGGTTGTAACCTTTTTGTATGCAGTTCTTATAAGGTTCTTCTGCTTTTACAATGAGAATAAGTATTTCTATTGTAACAACAGTGCAATAGATTATACTGTATTTCATTTGCAATTCTCCATCGGTATACTTGTGATGAAAAATAAGCCAAAACATTCAACAGAGAACATGTCTTAGATGTTTATACTTTAAATTGAGAAACTACAAAATTAAGAATTTAGCTAGTACAGAGAGGAACAGAGTTGTTGAAGAAACTGAACCATTAGCCCGCATGTGACTGCTATGATTTTTAAAATTTAGTTATTAATGATAAAGTACATTGTTTACAAGCAGCTTTTCAAAGTGTTAAGCATTTTTAATTTCTAACATTCAAAAAGTATGGGTGCCCAAATGGGACACAGAGAAATAAATGAATAAAGAAATGCATAGATAAATAAAATTGGCGGTGGATATAAATAAATGATCGAGTGCCACATTTATCTATTTCTGTATTTATTCATTTCCACATGATTTTTTCTGTATATATTTATTTCTACATTTCTTTCTTGCTGTGTTTCTCAAGGCGTGTCCTGAATATGTAGGCATAAGCAGGCAAACAATCTCTGCGATCTGCACACTGTCTGCAGGAACCAGCCTGTGTTTATGTCGGAGCTGGTGTTTGGCAGCTGACTGACCAGGCACTGCACACCACAATCTCTCACTTTACAGCCAGCTGGCTGCAAATTGATATATGGAAAATATTCTCGCAAATCTTTTAATGTCATGTAAGAATAGCCCTATGGCTGTATATGTATTTATGCAACCATAAGGAACCCTGTCTCTTACAAAGTAGACCTACGTTATTAATAAAAACCTTTGTTTATACTTAGACTCAGTGAAGTGTCAGCTTAGTAATGCATGTGACCATAGCACCACAACCAAAAACCACCACAATAAATAGACTATTCTTTTTGTTTTCATATGAATATCAGTATTTAATATTCAAATGCCTTGTTAGATTTGTGCACAAGGTGGTTACAGTTCCATCAAACTATTAAACAATTAGAGTAATTAAATAAGTCTAAGTCTGAATGTAGTGACTCCTACCAGTTCAGTGAATCCATTTACTGAAACAAGAGAGACCCAACGATAAAATAATGAAGGCATAGATTTATTTTAAATATGTACACAGGGATAATGATCAAGAGGGTAGAGGTGGTTCAAATGGTACATTTGTGAATGCTCTGATGAATGAAGGACAGTTTGTTGTTAGCTGTGGTGGAAGATTGTTGTTTGGGTCAAAAAAATGAGCTAGATTCTAGATCTAAATTCTCTGGTCTTATCACGAATATGGACAGGGAAAAATAAGTGTTGGTTGCTATAGTTTAGGGATTTGAATTTGGTAACAAATTGCTAGGGTAACTATGGTTTTCATGAGACATTTAGCTGTTGGCAGGAGTTAGCCATTTAGCTTTGAGATTCAATGTGGCTAGTAGGAGAGGAGCACTGGTTTGGAGGCTGTTTGGGCCAGAGTCGAGCAGGATCCAGGGTTCCGAGATGGTCATCGAGCCGGGGACTCGGAACCCATTTGTCGTTGCTGGATTTAGATGGGCTCGCTCTTGGAGGAAGCTGCTTCTCAATTGGCCAGGTCTTCTTCAGAGTTCTGGCTTCACCAGGGTTCTTCTATTGGTTGGCTGTTCAGAGATGTCTCACCAAAAAACCTTATTTAAACTGATTGTTGCAGGCTTGTTCTGGTAGTGTCTTGGGAGTTTAAAGGGCCCATGGCATGCTTTTCCTTGTTTTCTGACTTATCTACAATGTTGCAACAGCAAATTATCATCTTTGATGTGACCTAAAGCTCAAAAAATTTGGTGAACTTATGTTCTAGTATTTCTATGCAGAAGTAACTTGGTTTATAAACATCTCGCCATCTCTCACTCGTGAGACTTTTTTGTCTAACAAAATAAAGTATTACGTGATATTTTAAGGATCTCCTTGAATGGGCATAAAATCCAGGCCAGCGCGTTCATGTGAGTTTACCTGACATCCACCAGTGCCCCCACCATATTGGCAAGATGTTATACTGCCTTGTTTGTTATGTATATTTTCACTAAAGCTTATTAAAAAAAAACATCCACCAGTGCCATTGTAAAAGTGGAATTTTTCAACTGTGGCTGGTTTTGTGGATATATTTACCTCCTGCTGCACTGTGGCCAGAGGGTGTGGAAAAAAAATACAGGGCCTGAGGTTACTGCATGTCTGGGAATGTTCCTGTATAGGGACCTGACCAGGTCTAACCTACATGCAGCTGTCCAGTGAAGCCGCCACCACGGTTAGTGATCAGCTAATCAACAGTGGATTCCCCCGGAGCACAGTACCTGTTTTGGCTGCTTGAGACCAGCGTGTCTGCTGCATGTGATGTGTTGCTGGTTAATGAGAGGATTAATGATCCGTGATGTTATTGTCAGAGCTACGCTACCTTTTAGAATTAATTTCACTGCTTTGGAACTGTATGTGGTCATGTGGATGCAGTGACGACCGGTTGGATTTACCGATCTTGGAGCTACTTAAAAGGGAGTGATGTTTCCACTACTCGGTGGGACTTAATGGTAATTTCCAATTGGTTCTTCGAAGGTGCAGTGGAGAAAGGTTTGCGCCCAATTCTTCCACCATGGCAGAATGTTTGGAAAACATTTAAACACATTTTAAGTTCCTTTTGTCCCACAGAATGATTCACATACAGTATGTTTCATCATCATCACAGCCTCCAAACAATGTGTACTTTATTACAAGGTTTCTGCATATCTTGACAGAAATTTTAGCCCACTTTTCTTTTGCGAAGACCTCCAGGTCTTTGAGGCTGGAGGGGTTCTTTGCCATTACATGGGTTCCAAGTTCCTGTCATTGAGTCTTAATTGAATTTTGGTCTGGACTCCAGACCATTTACAT